GAAGTATTTTAAAAAATATATAAAATTTAATGCCAATTTGTCTTATTGTAACTTTGATGAAAAGCGATTTGAATTTCGTATAAAATGGGGTTATATCAGTACTGAAAAACTATTTAAAAAATATTTATTTATGTTGCAGTTCTTACAATTATTCAGTGATTTACAAAATATTAATTTTTAGAAAATCTTGATGAATGTTTGTATGTTACTACTTGAACAAATTAGTAAGATCTGAATTATTTATTTGATATAACTTAAAGTGAACAATGCATTGAATATTGAAACAAAATCCATTATGCTTTTTAACATTATTTTTAATTTTCACAAATATTATAAAGCTGCTTTTCGTGCATATAAAAGCACTTAAATAAAAATAACATAAAAATATAACAAAATGCAAATCAAATCTACTATTTATACCAGAATATAATCGCTGCCATATATCACTACTATAAGTAGTATTTTATAGTAATTTTGAACTTCCCGTAGGGTAAGTTATAGTAATCGCAAAAAAATAGAAAATGAAATTTTTATAAATCTATACGTTTCAGTGTTTCTGAACATTTTGGCATACCTTAGAAAAATTGATGTATGTATGTGTGTGTGCGGATATAAAATTCATGAACATTCGATTCCTACTAATAAGAAGACGTGCTGATTAGTTTTTGGCAAAGGCAGGCCTAGCCGTTTCGGAGATGCGGGGCAAAAAGTGCCAAAAATGGTACTTTAGTTTTTGTGATAAACGGAGAGTCCGATTTAAATAATTCAAAGAACATTTTACTTGTATTGACGTAATGAACAAATGGTGAAATATTTGTAAAGGTAGGGTCTAGCGTCTCCCTAGATCCAATAAAAAAGCAAAAAATAAAAAGTAGATGATGAAACAAAAAAAATCTAAACAAAAAATCATTTTTTTCTAAAAAGTCAAGTTTTTTTAAAATCTCAAAATTTCTAATAATTTTTTCAAAGCTTTGCAAAGTTTTTTTTTAATTTAGTTTTCGGTACGGAAAGTTCCAGCTATTTGCCTTAAGGCACGATGCCATTCACCACTAGTTACTATCTGTACTTACTACTATTGCTGTACCTATACTGTATCTATTTTTTTTATATTCATTTATTTGCGTGCGTTTTTCATATTCCATTTAATTCAGTGTTAATTAGTTAATATCTAATATTGTATTATTATGATTGTAGTTTTACGTCCTTTTGGATCTATGTAATAAAATAAATAAATAAAATTTGTCTATTACAGTTGAGTAGATAAGTTTTATTAGAATCGCTTTGAACTTTCTCTGTGGTCACAGATTTTTAATTCATTTCTCCCGTCGTAATATCTGTAGTTAAATACAAAAGGTGTGAATATTGGTCTGTTGCGCTTGCCTGATCTTACTTTTTTCTTTGTCCGTCGCACGGTAGCCGGAATCAAAAAACATACGAATAAAAATAATAATAACAATATAATATAATATAATAATAACGCTCGAAAAAAATCGAAAGAAAACGATAGAGAGTCGAATACAATAAAAAAGTGAACAAGAAAAAAAATAACATCCAAGAGCACAATACAACATATAATGCAGTGTAACCGAATATAATAAACTTAATTATGTATAATGCAGGAAAAAGGATTTGAATAATGGTCACAGTATGTGTGTGTGTATGTTTTTTATCACGTGTATTCGGAATCTAAGGTTATTTAAGGTCAGTGTTGGACTACCGGAGTCTTTTTTATGAAATCGCTTAAAATTCTTATAAGCAAATTAGACAATATGATTTTGTGTGTAATATGGTTTTGAAATATATTTAGTCATCGTTACGTAAATCAGTTTTTTTCTGAAAGAAAATTACTCAATATCCGTGAATCATGAGAACTTATTTTAATGACAAGCTATAGACCTTTAATCGTCAAGAAATGGTAAGATAAAATTTATCATCTCTTTATTGAAGCTCAACTTGAGAAAACTATTAAATTCGCTACTTTGTTAGAAAATGAAACTTTGCAAAAAATAATCCAAAACTGTCCGAAACTGGTCGAAGTTCGAAATATGATCCAGACTGATGATGAGTTGAAAGAAACTGGAATGGTTCCATTTTGCAAAACAACGTTTGTTTAAAATATAGATGTACTGAAAAAAATTGAACAATACATTTGGGCTAATTTGTGCTATTTGTATAAAACTATATTGCAGATATTTAGTATACAACTAAAGTCAAACCATTTGGTTCTCTTCTAGAAACCATTGTAAAATTTGAAAATTATTTGCAAAAATTATGCTATGAATATGGATCAGAATACTATTATTATTGCTAATACTAATGTGTATACTTGTGAATTGGAGGTTTTTAGAATGGATCTTTTTTGCAAAACTGCACAATTGTCTAAAAGATAGGTGCTATTTGTATTTTACCATATTGCACATATACATGGTCTGTTCAAAAAGTACCCGGAATTACTAATAATTAAATTTCGCGGGTCTGGAGTGTCTGATTGTCAAAATTTTTTTTTTATTGTGTCGGTATACATGCCCCTAAAGTATGATGAAATTTTCAGCTATATTCACTGTTTACTTTGTCTGTGGTAGTCGCTAAGGTTCGACGTGTTTTTCTGAGCTCGGCGATTTTTACAATGGAAGAATTGAAAAAGTCAAAGAATTTGTATTAAATTTTGCGTAAAAAATGAAATAAAGTGTTGCAAAGTGCAAAAATTCACCAGATATGGCTCCGTGTGACTTTTTCCTATTCCCAAAGTTGAAGAGACCCATGAAAGGACGGCGGTTTTCCTCGATTGAAGAAAATCGCCGAGAGTGCTCAAGGACATATCAAAAAGTGAATATCAAGGGTGCTTCGAAAATTGGAAAAAACGCTGGCATAAGTGTATTATATCTGGGGGGACTACTTTGAAGGGGACCACATTAATGTAGACGAATAAATAAATATTTTTTTGAAAAAACGAAAATTACGAAAACTTTTTGAACAGACCTCGTATAGTACACAACTGAAAGGCAAACCATTTAGTTCACTTCTGAAAGCCATTGTAAAATTTAAAAAATAATTGAAAAAAAGAGTGCTTTAGATATGGATCAGAATATTATTATTACTGCTAATACTAATATGTATAGTATAGTACTAATATGTAATGTAGAGAATAATACACAACAACTTGTAGAATAAATATTCTGATGAATAATTTCGAAATATTTTCCATCCAATTCGACACCAGCCCTGAAGTCGTGAAAAAATGATTAATGGTAGTCAAATTCGCGTGCGACATGACCGAACGAAATCTAAAAGAAATTCGTCGCGATGGATTTTCATATATTCGAAACATTGACTTCATACTTTGCTTCTGGATTCAAGGAACTATACAATGTTAGGTCCAGATTATTTTGTAAAAATCTCATTTGCGAAAACTTCAGTTGATTTATTACCATATTTTACACCGACGATAATCATTTAAAAAATATGAATGCAGATTAAAATGGATCTCATTACAAAATACTTTGGACTAGAAATAAATTTTTTAGTCTACTAATACATATGTATTTCAATAATATGTTTGATTAGATTAATCATATCGTTAATCAGTATACTTTCAACTTATAATTAGTTATTGTTTGACTCAGTCAATATTCTTCATCAAGCAAACACAATCCTTTACTATCTTCCAACCTGCGGCAGACAATATGGTTTGTTCGCATATTTGCGTAGTGGGCGGTGTTCGAGGGCCGCCGAAACAATTTTGAAGCAACTTATTCGAAGTAAAAAAAAATTGCAACACACGGTTTTGCCTCGACGGCCGGGCTCGTCGTCGCCTAAAAGTTACCGCTCGTTCACACGTTACTCGCATTGCTGGAATTCTTGAGCTTGAGTTTCAGTAATTGCCGAAAAGAATTCGTCAAAAGTCATTTATTTTCAGTTCAAGACACCCGCTGAAAAATAATCTATATTGTACATGCAAATTGCAATACTCTTGCTATCAAAGAAAAATGGGAATTGCGACTCAGAATGAAGAATGGTTGGTATCCATCAATCGTCCTTTATATCATTTTGGTGGCAGGCGATTGGTCAAACATGGGTTATAGAAAATCCTTATGAAGTTCTGATCAAAATTTCAAAATCGTGTCATAGTATTATTTTATTATTGCTGCTAATTATACTAACAGCAACATGTAATGACACGATATTTTAAATTATTTAAAATATTTCATTGCTACACATATACAGTCAACCCTCCGTTAACACGGCACTCTGGGTACACGGTTTCCATACCGCGCGGAGCTAAAAATCCGACATCCCTCCGACTACACGGACTTCCTATTACACGGTTTTTGTTCAACAGCCCATAAGTTCCTTGCACAACCTATGAGTAATTATAGGAACTTGATATCAAAAGGGTATTAACGTAAGTTTTGTTATCGACTTTCATCTTTTAGACATGCCTGATTATATAATATCTGTCTAAGAACATGTTTGAACTGATTGCAACGTCGAGCCAATTTTTGAATAATGTGTCCAGGTCATATATGTCATTTCATCCGTATTACTCCTACTTCAAGTTGTATTCCTTGGTCTCTATACAGCACGATAAAAATGGTGCGATTAGTACTAACTCTTAGTCTCTCATAGCGCGGTTCCCATACAGCACTATATAAGTTTCCATAGAACGCACTACGAATTAGCCTGAATTGTATGTTAAATACGAGCACGGTCCCCATACTGCACCGTACGCACTTGCCGCGTTAACCGAGGGTTGACTGTACTGCCTAATCGCTTTTTGGCATCATATTAGCCTTTGACTTTGCGCTTAATTTTAACCAAAGCAATTGTAATAAAAAAAATTTGTGGTGTATCAATTACAGTAGAATATACATGAGTGGTATAAGTGAAAATATTATTTCATCTTGAAAGATCGTCTTAATGTCTAATTTCATCCATCCCAAATTCTATAGGGCGTCAATTTTCTACAGTTCTGAAATTTCAAAGCTAATTTTATTTTACAGGTAAAGATATGGTTCCAAAATAGACGCAGTAAATACAAGAAAATGATGAAAGCAGCACAAGGAGGTCCCGGCGGTCCTGGAGCTTCACTGGGCGGTCTAGGCGTTCCTGGTGAACAAAGTCCTCCAGGAAATATTCCCGGCATGCATGGTACGATCACAACCAAATCCCATCATTAATTTTTATCCACTTTTCTAATGATCCCCATTTTTTATTTTATTCTCTTTCTTGTATCACAAATTAAATTTCCTTTATCTTCTAGGAGGAAGTAGCAGTGGATCACCACACTATCTCGGTACGTCAGGAGGTCCAGGTGGCGTGGGCGGTCCAGGTGGTCCCGGTGGTCACAGCCCCACACCTTCATCCACCCCTGTATCGGAGCTGTCACCAGGGTTGAGTCCGCCGGGAGTACCCTGGGATCACAAACCTCCTCCCGGTCCACCTCAGCAACCGCCACAACCGCCACAGATGGGCGGATATGTTCCGCAGTACTGGTACCAGCCGGAGTCAAATCCAGGACTTCTGACGTAAGGATAATAGATAATAGATAAGAGATAGTGAAGAATAATAGATAGATAGTGAAAAATTTTTAGTATATTTCTGGATGATGTGTGTAAAATCATATTAAGGGTTGTCATAAGACAGCCTGGTAGAGGGAATTTAAGAACAACTCATGTGATTGTGAGGTATTGAGAAATTCATGAAGAAAGCAAAAATAATATTTAGTGATATATAAGTCGCTCAGTGAACACACTTTTTGAAAAATTTTTGATATTCGTGTGAAAGTACTTAGCGCACACGAAAAATACATTGTAAGCATTATAATGCTGAATGTATTTATCGCAAAAATTGACTTTGTAGATAAAGAAAATAAGTGCGATACAAAAAGGATAGATATTTTATGAAGCTATAAACTAGTGGGGCGCATGGCATCGTGCCTTAAGGCAAATTGCTGAAACTTCCTGTACCAAAAATTATAATTTTTTTAAAAACGATTAACATTTTTGAAAAAATTTCACTTCGAAAAAATTAGATTTTTGAGAAACTATAAATTCGACAAAAAATTACCTTTTTTGAAAAAAAAATTCGTCTGAAAAAAAAGTTTTTTTTATTTTGGCATAATTTGGAAATTCTGAACTTTTTTTCAAAGCAATCGTACTGCTTTAACTGCATACAGACGACATGTCAAAGCGCGTAAGCGCCGCGTCGCCGTCTAACGGATAAACAATGGTACGAAACGCATAGGAATGTAAACAAAATTTATACTTATTGTTAAAATCTCTATAAAATATCTGATAATTTGATGTGCATATGTCTAATGATCATTTTTGACCGCCAAATTGCTTTTTTTACTTTTTCATTAGATCTCCGAAAACCGCTAAACCTGCCTTCATGAAAATTTGATCAATTCTTCATCTTGTCAATACAAGTAAAATGTTTTTCGAATTTTTAAAATCGGACGCTCCGTTCTCTTAAAAACCGTGCTACCGTTTTTGGCACTTTTTGCCCCGTATCTTTGGAACGGCTAGACCACCAAAAATTTATCAGCACGTTTTCTTATCAATACGAATCGAATGTTTTCTAAATTATTTAATATGGGTTGATCGGTGTTCCCGAAATCGTCGACGAAAATTTGTACTCGCACACACACACATATACACACACACACATACATCCATTTTTTCTAAGGTATGCCAAAATATTCAGAAACCTTTGAAACGTCGACAAATGCAAAAATTTTCATTTTTGATTTTTTTGCGATTACTATAACTTACCCTACGGGAAGTTAATCAGTGACAAGAAATCCGTTGGAGTGTTTTTCTATGTGCTCCACAGTTGGTTTTAAAATCTGTCCTTAGTGATAATAAAGGCAAGCCGTTGAAAAATGTTGCCAATCCATGCTGAAGCATAATTTCCTTACAATAAATAGGTTTATATAAATCTTGCGTCCTCGATGTAGACATATAAACCGATGGATTTTTACCTCGATAAGGTTGTCCGTCGTTCCTTCTAATTTTTCCGCGCATCTGGTGATCACCCGAAGCGAATTCCCAAGCGCGCTCGTATTAGTTACTGTTGGGAAATCGGAGACGACAATTAGGTCAATACGGTACGTGCAACACAATGCAATTCCATGGCACACAATCGAAGAGTGGAGATAATGCAAAATATCCATTAAAACACTTTCATGTCGATAGCGATTTTTGCATAGTCACAACTTTGCACATGAATTCCTCGCTCCTTCCGTTTGCTGCTTGACTTTTTTCCGGACGACGGCCGCAATAGAAACGCGTTAGTCATCATAATAGATATATATTGTATTAGTTGTAATTTTTTATGAAGATTATCTGGGATTTTTAATTGTGAACCTGTTTTACAGTGATGGAAAATTTAAAAAAAATCATTCGTTTTTCTATCGTTCAAGGGATAACCGAGTACTGATGGACCATAATATTAATTACACACAATCTATTTGATCAAACATTAACAAAAGTTTGCTATTGCTGATATAATTATTGTATAATTACCTATACAATTCTAGTACTCTAATATAATTTAATTATATACAGGGTGTCCCAGACCTTAACGTCAAGTCGAAATGGGTTGATAGTATTGACTTAGGTGTCCTCAAAAAAAATTTAGAAAAAAAAATATCTCACGTTGTTTGGATATTATGAGCTTTCAAGTACAACCTAAAGCTTTAGTAAAATTACAACCATTTTTCGGTTACTGTGGTTAGTTTTTATTATTTTTGTTCATTTAAATTTTGGATCAGTATTGAGGCAATATAAACAAATGAATAAAATAAATAAAAATTTTGGAACCGTAATCGTGAATAACATTTCTAAGACCACAGTCAAAAAGACTAAGATAATTGCTCCAACTTTTCAAGAATTAAGACTTTTTGATGAACTACAAATTTAAAATCAGTAGACTTTAATTGACCTTTCCCTCAAAAAATGTGTTTTGGCAAGTTCCATCAAAAGTTGGCGCCGTATATATATAATTTTCGTGTCATTATGTTAGTGGCAATACCCCCCTCCGAAACCGATTTCAATGCTGGGATACGTACACCCTAATGTCAAGCAGTAGTGATATCAGTTTCTACTTCAAAACATTAGTCCCGAATTTGTTTCAACGGCGACCACAAGGTCGAAGGTTCAATATTGGAATACATACACCCAAATATCAAGCAGTAGCAACGGTTTGACCGATTTTTATGTAATTTTATAATCACATTCAGTATGACTGAGAATCAGAAAGCATCTATTTTTCATGCCCGTAAGTGTCCCTTAACGTTTTTTTGTTTTTTGACCAATTTATTTTCTTTTATTATTTTATAATTTGTAATTGAAAAATACATGAGCTCTAAATTTTCACCCTCCTACCACAAACCCTTATTACTTAATAGTCATTTTAGTAATCCGATAATTTTTAATTCTGCTTTCAGTCAATGAATGCTTTTTGTCGAATTGCAATTCAGATTTTCCTGAGCTTACAAAAAAACTTTTTTTCTATCAAGGGCTGTCCACCTTCAATACTTTTTTTAAAAATTTAGGAATAAATTTTATATAATTTTAATTTTTCATAATTCGGAATTGCAAAATACATACATCTCTAAATTTTCACCCTCCCACCACAAATTTATTTTTCATAATAGTCATTTTAGTAGTTCAATTATTTTCCATATGGCGTGTATATATATAAATATATATTTAACATTTCTTATGACTTACAATATTGTTCACAATATTCTAGACTCCAAAAAAAAACGATTTTCTCCATGATCAAAATTTCGAGAGAATATTTTCATATTCTTCACAATCTTTCAAATTTATTTTGTAATTTCTCAAGCCTCATTAACATCCAAAAATATTCAGAAAATTTACAAATTTTCTTTGAAGTTATCATTTTTAAATTTATTTATGTAAAAATACCATATAAAAGTATAACCTTATACCTGATTACTAATATTTTTGTTTTTTTATTTGCAGGGTATGGCCAGCAGTGTAACCACGAAAACAATTTAAATTATAGTGCAGTGAATAGAATTAATATGAACAAAAAGACATTGTTAAAATGTGAATTATGTGAAAATATTATAATTACGATAGAGATATGGGTATGTTCATTGAGGTACCGATACCGAAAACTGGAGACGCTCAGGCATTTTTACTTTATCAGCATTAAGATTATATAATAGAAAAATATTTATTTTTGTTGCAACGAAGTAGTAACGATGATGATAAAAGATTCACTAACCAAATTTGATTTTCACTAAATGAGAAAATAATTTATTTCTACATAGCTATCATAACTTATCCATGCTGTGGACAATTGATGATAATGAAAAATCAATAATATAATTAATGCAAAAATCATTTTATTTTATTTTTATTACTAAATGAGGGTGTGTCTATTACCTGCATCGTTACTATATTTTGTATCATAAAACAATCATTATGCAATAGTTAAAATAAATTCAATTAGCCAAAGTTGAGAACTCGAACTAAATCAATGTTTATACAAAACCCCAGATCTCAGAAAAGAATCTATTGTGGTTAGTTTTAAAACACGTTATTATTAAAACTGTTCCTATACTCTTATTTATGTACAAAAATTGTAAAATTCAATTGTTGTATAATACAAAAATACATATTAGTAAATGTAAGTTATATGTAATTAATATTAAATTGCTTGTAATTCAGGAGTACATGAAACCGTTTTTGATCAGAATAGTGAACGTAAAAATAAATTTAAAATTAATAAAATAATTCATTAGGTAAAATGATATTTAGTTATGGTTCTTGTTCCGTTTGAAGCTTTCAAAAGAAATTATTTGAATAGAAATGTTTGGAACTCGTTCCTTCAAAATATTTTATATTAATCTACAACTGTTTGTTATAGTGCAAATACAATTGCAACAATATTTAACGAGTATTACATTCAATTATTCATTCTAAGTTACTAATTTGATTATTCCATAGATGTTTCATGCTATTTTAACCCTTTCCACTCGAATGTCGCCACTGCGGCGGCAAAATACATATAAATCTCGCAGTTCGCGAGTGGAAAGGGTTAATATAAGAGCCAATAGTCGAATAAAATAAAAGTGTTAACGTAATGCTATGTTACGGGTCTATGTTCGTATGAGTTGGTAGTAACGAACTTTCTAAAAGCTATGTACTTGCTGTACGTTGAGGCGTTTTACACATAAAACCTAACCTACAAAACGCACGAACGTCAAATAAAAATTTGGTCGCGTGCAAATTTCTGATGTCCTATTGATAACGCATACGTGAAGTTAGGTTTTATGTGTAAATAGGTTGCTTTTCCACAGTTTGTTGCTACCAATTCATACGAACATAGACCCGTAAGATAGCAATAGCATAACATTTCTATTTTATCCGAGAATTGGTCCATATTTTCTGGAATAAGATTCAACTATACATGGAAAATATGTCACTTGAACTTGATTTGTTAAAAATTTATAATATTTTATATTCGATTTACAACGAATATAAAATACC